CTCTCTCTCTATATATATATATATATATATATATATATATATATATACGCACCCGGTTCGCTTTTCTCCTGAATTAACTATCTTCACATTTGTTTTTACCTTCACCTCCTACCCCCCCCCCTCCTCGAAAGGGAAACGGCAGCCTTTTTCCATGTTACTTCTGTTGCATGAAACGAAGGGATACATCTCTCTGGAGCTTTACGCGCGCGTAATGATGCATCTTGTTTTTTCTCTTTCCTTTTGTCTTCTTCTTCTTCGTATCGTTGTTTAAACTGGATGGACGCGAGTTCTTCATTTCTCGGTTCTTTTTTCCTTTCCTGCTCTTCTGGAAATCAATAGTCGAGAATACCACTGCCTTTGCGTGTTCTTTTTCCGTGATGCTTTTCTTTTTTTCCTTTTCTATGTATCCCGTCTCTTTCTTCGTGGGCTTGTGACGCGGCTAGCAGCGAGCGTCACGAGCCGTGCTGCGTGTAGTTTTCAAGTGGCAAGTAGCAGCTTCTTCTTCATCTTTTCCGCTCCGAGTTTCTCACCGGGTGTTTGGTGGAAACGAGGAGCCCCTCTTCGTTTGTATCTTCGATTCTGTGTGCAAAAAAACATACTTTTAGTGTTCTGCTTTTGCAGTTTGTGACGTGTGACTTTGGTGTTCTTGCTTTGTATTCTTCTCGAACAGGAACGAGTAGATTTCGTATTTTACGCGCACGTGAACGATAGGAAAGTCGGAATGCGCGGTGATCGTGGAAGGATAGCGTCAAATCGACATTTTCCTGTTTTTTTTTTGTTTCACTCCTCACAGCGCCTTAGTGCCGCTTCTGGGTTGAGGAGACGTGTGGCGCGGCACTGTTTTTTTCCCTTTGGGGCTCTCGTTGGCGTGTATTACAGTGGAACATTTTTGTTTGCTACAAAACCTGCAGTTAATGGCCTGTGGTGTGTGCTGTTATTAAAGCGAAGTCTCTTTCCGTCTCTTCGCCTCTTCTCAGAAAAGGGAAGGCTCTGCCTGAGTTTACCAAAACACGTCGTTGCCCATTCCCGAGCCCCCCCCCCTCGTTGTTATTCTTAGCTCTTCTCTCTGTTTCCCGATTCTCCTTTTTTCTTTCTGTTTTGAGTTGTTTGTTCTAAAATCCCACTCTTTTGTTTTTCGTTCTTCATGCTTTCCTTTTTTTTTAAATTTACATCTGAAGTCGAGCTTTACTGTTTTTGCCTCTTTTCGCTACGATGTGCTAAAATGATAAGTCGACGCATCAAAACATCCATCAAGAAAACAAAACAGCAAGAGAAGCGGCGCCGTGCGGGCACCGTGTCACACCTCGCCTCATTTACACCGTGCTGGGAAGGTCGCATCGCTCCTGCCGTCTCTTCTCTTTTTAGGCATTGCGTTGTCTTTTTCCCTTTTCCGCTTTTTTTTTCTCTGAGTATGCGCGTGGCCTGGAGTTGAGCCTCATTGCATTGCTACGCCTTGTTTTTTTCTCTCTCTCTATATGCATATGTATTGGGCACCACGATGCGCGCACGTGCGTGTGTGTGAGACACACTCCACCACAACAGTACGAATATCTATATCTATATCTATATCTATATCTAAATCTATATCTATATGCATATGTATTCTTCCTTGCCGCTTTCTGTCCCCTTAGCCGGTGCCGCGTAGAGCATCACAACGTGACTGCCATTTTGAATGTGCAAATAAACATAGTTTTGCATGTCGTTTTGAAAGTGAAGCTGTCATTCTTACCTTTGGGCCTTTCGTTTACCTTTCGTATTTTGTGTCGTGTTTTCCTTCCGTAGCACCGGCACCCGCTGGCCTGTAGAAAAAAAGAAAGAAGGAATAAACGAAAACACACACAAACACACACACCGCCAGCGTGTGCGCACGTGTACTGGAGAGGGCTGCAGTGCGTTCACGAGAATGAATCTATTCCAGAGCGTTTAGTCTCTCCAGTGGCGGCCTGTTCGCTTTCCTGACGTGAACAACACGCGATGAAAATTGCGGTTAAAGCAGAAACCACCAACACGGTTATCGAGAAGACGTACCACTCTATTTGCTGTTGTGTATCCAACCAGTGAGTATTCCGTCTTGCTCTTTGATTGGTAGTTCACTTTGTGCTGCGGAGCGCACAACGCGTGCCGCAGCAACGTCTGTGGTGCTGGGATTCTGCTTCGCGTGGCCGGTACGAAGCATCAACGCACGCCTCCTTTCCCAAAGTACCCCCCCCTTCATTTGGTCTGCGCTTTCCTTCTCCTGTTGCGCTTTTCATTGTTATTTTGCTCTCCATGCAGAGTCAGAACCAGAGAAGACTCCACAGCAGCACTGCGGAGGAAAACAAATAAAAGAAATCAAAACTAGGATAAAGGCGCGTATTTTCATCGCGCTCGTCTGTCGAGCTGCACAGGGCCTTTCTTTCTCTCTTCACACGGCACCCACAGCTTCGCTGTACTCATGCTCCGCTTCGGTCGTGTGCTGCTGGCGGAGGCGACCACCATCAACAGCAGCACCGCATCCGCGAGCGGTCGCCTCATCCGCATCCGCAAGAAGAGTAAATGGATCGACCGTCGTAGCACGCGAGTGCCGCACAACGGGAAGGATATTTGGTACTTCGGCGACCAGCCCAGCTGCGCGCTCTGCCACGTGCGGTTTCGCTACAAGCAGGATTACGAAGCGCACAAGGAAAGCGAGCTACACGTGAACCGACTGCGCTGGGTAGAGACGATGACGTGGTGGAGGGAGACGGGGGAGCCAGCCTACTTGAAGGCAGCCAATGAGCAGTGGGCGTGGTTTGAGGAGAAGGTGCTGCCAAGGAAGGCGCAGGAGATGCACTGCAGCCTGGAGGAGGCCCGCCGCCTCTATCGCCAGTCCGTCATGACGGAGACGCCGACGTGGCACCGCCCACTGCAGTGCCCGACGGTGAAGCAGGAGGTGCGGGAGCCGCGCGATCAGCGATGGCCGTCATCGCCGAAGTGGTGATGGCAAGAGGAGCCGACAAGAAATGTGCCTCTGATTCGCTCACTGCCCGGTGTACGCCGTTGTTGGCCGGTTGCCGCGGCATCGCTAATGTGTGAGGGGCCGTACTTCCCTGTTGCGCTTGGAAGAGAGTCATTTTTCCCTTTTTGCATGCGCGTTGATGCGCCGAGCGTTTCTTAGGTTTTTGACACACACACGCACACACGAAAACCGTGATAACACAAAAAGGCCTAAGTAGATGTGCGTCGCTGGAATGGGAAAAGAAAGCTCTGATATTAGCGGTCTGGACTGGCTTCAACCTGACTCTCCATGCATCCGCATTGCTTACACCTTGTCGGCGGCCACGTTCATCTGAAAAAGCATGTGCTGGCTTCCCTTTTTTTCTTGGTGAAGCAAAGTGCATTTTGCAGTGTTTGCGGCGTTCATGTGCACTCGTCAACACACACCAAGCATCACTTTTTTTTTATAGAAATTTGAGTAGCTCATCAGTTCGCAATCTTCTCTCCTCCCCCCTGTTTTTTTTGTACCGTCGTGGGTGTCCGTTTCCCGACGCACCACACGTTCTACTTCGCCTTTTGTTCAACCAAGTATATCTCTAGTGTCCAGAGCACGTCACGGTGGCAAGTGGTGTTCTCTCTCCGGTTTCTTTTGTATTTTCTCTTTCCGAGGTGCAAATAGGTCGGTCCGTTTTGTGTATTCTCTACTGAACGGATACTATTATTCCTCCCCCTTGCAACAGGCCCATGCACGCACTTCCGCCGATCCGATCTGCGCGGTCAAGCAGCGGCAGCAGCGCCAAAAACAGAAGCGACACGGTCAGGGCCTCCGATGTATCCTCCTCGGAGACTTCGCAAAACACACGCGACACGACGGCCTCCGCGGCAGACGGCATCAACCGCAACAAGCTTCGGCAAGAGGCAGGGCGACGCGTCCAGCACATCACGCACGGCGTGGCGGAGCAGCAGACGTACCTCAATATGCTCCAGCACATCCGTGGCCAATTCGCTCACACGTCGCCGCTGCCGCTGCAGCCACTCGTGCTGCCGCCGCAGTGGCCCTCGACGGCGCGCCCACGGGAGCCGCAAACCGCAAAGTTCTCGCGGGGCATTGCCCTGTACAAAAACCTGCAGAAGCACAACGATGCCGCGCTGCCGGCTTCTGCTGCTGTGAGGGAAGGCAGTCATACCTCGTACGATGCCTCGGCTGCTGGGGTGGGCATGACGAAGGATGCTGACTTAAAAGCTGCTACTGTGGCTGCTGCTGCGACGGACGGCACGGCGAGCTACGTGCCAACGGAGCTCCCTTCCACGCCCACCAACTTTTCCCGTGCGCATCGCTGGGAGACGATCAACACGGACGATCGCACCTTTTTCCAGCGTCGTGCCTTGGACGCTCTCGAGCGCAACTCCGTTACGGCGGAAGCGGAGGCTGAAGAAAACATCGCGGACGGGCGTCGAATGAGCGGCGACTTGGTGGAGGAGGTGGACCTCTCTCCGCTCGATGAGCTTCCTACCCTGCAAGAGAAGGTGGCCTATCTGTCCGACCTGGAGAGCGCGAGCCGTCGGCACGTCATGGCGTACGAGAGGTGGGATCAGCAGGTGATATCAGAGATGATGGCGGTGCGCTACGTCACGTTTGTGCTGAAGCCCAGCATGGACGCCCTGCGCATCGAGGAGACCGAGCAGCGGGAGAAGATCTACCAGCACGAGGACCTCCTCAGCTTCTACCTGTTTTACGAATCCCCTTTTGTCACGGCCATTGCGGAGGGGATTAAAGCGATAAAGGCGCGCGAGATGCAGCTGGAGCGTATTCTCGGCGTGCGGGCCGCCTCGCAGCAGCGGTTGTCACAACCGAGCGTCAGCGTCAATGAAAGCAGCTCCGCCACCGCAGAGGGCGGCGAGCTGAGCGGCGCACGTTCGTCGAGCACGTCCTTTCGAGCACCGAAGCCTCCTGCAACGATGCCGAGCGGAAACACAGCTGCTGGTGGTGGTGGTGATGGCGGTGTGCCGTCTCCTGATGCTCGCCGCATCTTGCAGCAGTACGTCCGACATCGCTATGGGGACTCCATTGACGCTGCGGCTGCGGCGACCGCTGCTGCGCCTCTCTCGTCTCCTGCGATGCCGAAAACGTGGTCGCCCTCGGCCAACGCGACCTACCCCAGTGCGGCCAACGCCGAGACGATCCGGCGTCCCTCTGCGCTGGTTCTGCCCTCGCAGCCCTCGGCGCACGCACCGCGCCGCAACGCCGTGGGCATCGCCGACTACGTGGCCTTGCTGGATGAGTGCATGAGTCTGCGCGGGCACATCGTACTCGCTGAAAAGAAGTCCCGCGCCGACATCAACCGTGCCTTCTACGAGGAGCAGCAGGTGGTGTTGGAGTGGCAGCGGCGGCGCATGCACCTCGAGCGTCTTACCTACTGGCGGCAGCAGCGTGAGGATGCGGTGCAAGACGAACTTGCTGCCCTGACGGAGGTCAATGTCGGCGCCCCGCTTGACCCGAAAGCGGTGCTGCTGCTGGAGTTGCTGGAGGGGGAGGAGGAGGACGCCCGTGCCGCCCTCTGCGCCGAGGAGCGGCGCTGCAGCGAGGACGAGGTGTGGGCGACGGGCCAGGCGCTGCGTCACCGGCACGAACGTCATCAAGTGGAGAGAGAATGTGCGGCTGCGTTTGACGGCGGCGTACGGGCAGGCGAAGCAGCGGCAGCACAGCAAATCCTCCTCCTCGAGGAGGCGAGCCTGCGTGGCATCAAGGAGAGAGGGGCGAGGCAGACGATGGAGCAGGAGCTCAGCCACGGCATGGCCCAGCTGCAGGCGCTGTGGGAAGTCAGCGTGAGTCCGGCGCATTATGCTTCCCTCGGCGTGCTGCAGTCTGCTTTCCGCCGCTCCCTGCGTGGCCGACTGGGCTGGCGCGCCGCGAACCGCGCCCTCGGTCGTGAAATCAATCACGCACGAAATGCCAAGAAGATATCTGCCGGGCAGCGTACGCTCCAGTCCTTCAAGGATACGCTAGAGGCTGAGGAAGCGCAGCTGCTGCGGGAGCAGGAGGCGCAGCAAGTCCAGGAACAGCACGTGCTGCTTGCCGGGGAGGCGGCAGACCGCGTCGCCATCTGCTCGGAGCAAGACTTGATTCGACAGGGCATCCGACGCGCCAACGCGCTGCACGTCGCACAAATATACCTCCCCGTATTCCAGCGCCTTGTGGCTGCGGAGGAGGTTGCGCGCATGCAACTCGAGGTGGAGGGGGAGTGCGACGAGGAGGCGCTGCGGCGTGCACATGTGACGCTGACGGACGTCGTCACCCGCAAGGCTCGTGCCCGCAACGACGAGGTGGCCGCCCGCAAGGCGCTCGTGGCGGATGAGCGGGCCGTGTGGCGCGAGCTGCGCAGCGCCGAGGCGGACGCCCGGGAGGATCTGCGACTCTGTGCCGAGGCGGACGAGGCGGTGCGACAGGCGGACCGCGACTCGTTCGTGGAGGCGGCGCTGCAGGCCAGTCGCGACTACCGCGGGGGGGCCTTCGCCGCCTACGTGCGCCAAATAACCGAGGCGGAGCTGGAGGTGCTCGGGTACATCTCCACGGACTCTGCGGAGCGTTGGGCCATCTGCGCGGAGGAGGCGAAGGCGGCGACGCTGCTGGTTTCGGAAATGTCCGCGCAGGCCTGCGAGATCTTCGCTCAAGACCTACTCCACACGCGTCAGGAGGACTTTGACCGAGAGCATCGACAGGCCCTCTGCGTGGGAGAGACGGAGAGGCGTGCGGACATTGTACTGACGCAGGCGATTGACTGGGAGGCGTTGAAGCCGGCGCTGCTGGAGACGCTGTCGGGTCCTCTGCGCGACTTGATTGACCGGCGTGCTGCGGTGAATGCGATCAGCACGTGGTTCTCCGCCGTGCGCAACGGCGACATTGGCAGAGCAGTGTCGCGGCGGCAGCTGCACGACGACCTCACCCGCTACCGTGAGGAGCGCAACCTGCGCACGCAGCAGATTTCGCAGCGCTTGCACACTCAGCAGGTCCGCGATCAGCTCGATGCCTTGATGCGCGAGATACGGCAGGAGGAGACCGAGGTGGTTCAGCAGCACCTCGACATTCTCGTCCACCGCGAGGAGCCGCGGGGTCGGGATGATATTGAGTCGATGCAGGAGATCGTGTTTGGCATCGTGGTGCGCAACGCAGAGGCGCACACGGCAGAGGTGCGACGGCAGCTGGTGAACACGGAGGCGCTGCTCTGGCAGCAGGAGTCGTACGAGCGCAAGCTGCTGATCAAAGCGAGTCGACGCGTTTTCAAGGAGCTGATGGAGCGGGAGCAGCGGCAGCTCAGTGAGGATTACTTCGCCTCTCGCATTCAGCGCACGTGGGCGGCCTACGCGGCGCGCAAAAAACACGCGCAGGTCATGGCGGACCAACGCGCACAGGTGTGCGCATTAGAGCAGCAGGCACGCGTGGCTGTGCAGCTGGAGGAGTTGGAGGAGGCGACCTTGGACGTTTACAAGCCCTGCGATGCCACCGTGTTCTTTCACACCTACGTTCAGCAGTCACTCACGCACGTGTATGAGAAGCTGTGCCTCGCTATCCTCGCCTCCACCAGTGCACGGGAGCGGCAGGAGAGGGCGTCCCTGCTGTGGGAGATGCGGTACGACATGTGCGACTTTTGCCTTTGCTCTGAGGAGGAGCGTGCGCGCCGTGCCGTGGCCGCTGACTTTCATAAGCCCTTTCGTCTCCAAGAGGAGCTGCTGCAGACGGAAGCGCGAGAGCGCCGGCTGTTAGTGGAGGAGCGCACGTCCTTTCTGCTGCGTGTTTTTGCACGTACGGAACAGGCGCACCGGCAGGAGGTGGCGGCGGAAGCGACGAGGCGGTTGACGGAGGTGCAGAAGGAGCTGGACGAGGCGAAGTACAGGGCGGCGCCAGAGCTTTAAGGAATGGAGAAGGTAAGATAGCTGTACCTTTGAAGAAAGAATGTGATGATGATGTCTCTGCTGCTGATTTATTTGGTGATTTCACAAGGACACGGGATCGATGTATGACGTAGAAGTGAGTGATCACTGTGCTGGTTTTTTTTTTTTTTTGTATGTAAACAACGATAGCACCGAAGACAGCTGCTTCCGCTCTGTGAATGCAGTGCGTCTTCTAGCGTTTCTTCCTCGACCATGTAAAGGAGTACATATTTATTTTGTTTTCCCGTTTCCACTTCAGCGTGTTTGTGTTTGCCTGAACACGTGCATTATACTTCTCTCTGTTTCCTCTTTCATTTACTGCCGTGTACTCGCTGCATTTTGTTTTGTGTTTTTCTCTTCCGATGGTGGCATGCCCGTTACCTATTTCTTTATCTCTTTATGTTGTCGTGTGTTGTCTGTGGAAGTCGTTCGCATGTGATATTTCAAAAGCTGACAAAGATAAGCTTTGCGTTGTTTATTTATTCTCTCCCTCTGGCTGTCATTGTATGGCGAGTTCTCTAACAGTACGTCTCAGTCTCGCTGTACCGCTGCCGTGAAGCAACCCGAGAGAAGTGGTTTCCACGCTAGACAGGAAGCCTGTGTCATCTCCTTTACAGGTGCTCTGCCCTCTCCCACGCCCTCCTCATGTGTCTAGCGCCTTCACGAGTTCTACCTCCTCTCACTGTTGGGTTGTGTGGATGCCTTTCCGAATCATCCTTTCCTTTTCTGGGATCGTCTCAGCTGTTCTTTTGTTTCTCTTTTTGCCACGGAAACGTCTTCCACGGTATCAAGTGCGCTCCGTTGTATTTTTTTTCTTCTACTTGTATTCGCTCTAAAATCGCAACGCGCCACCGGCAGCCGAGCAACCTTCGCGGGAAGCGCACACACACACTCTGCTACGCAGCCGCCATACAACGGTCCTTATCATTACCACCATATCATCTCCTCTCTTCCTTCTGCTTCTGTGCTGCAGTGGCGCCGTAACTTATAGAAGATTAGCATCCTTTCTCCGTCTTTGTTTTCCTTTTTCCTATTTTGCTGGCGAATTAAGATTAGAAAAAACAGTATATCCCTATACACTGCCGTAGTACATCACTTCTATTTTCCTCATTACCTTCACGATTTTACAGAGGGAGTTTTTGTTTTCTCTTTTCGGCTCGTACGCCTTCGTACGCATCTTTCTTCCTCTACTCTGCTCCTCTCGAACAAAAAAACATAAGAGTGTTGTTTAAAAGCACTTGCCGAGTGTGCCGCTGTCCTGCCGAAAGACACAGCCACACCTGCGGATCATCGCGTGTGTGTGTGTGTGTGTGGGTGTGTGTGTATGTGTTGTGTGTTTGCGCGTCCAGACATATACAAAGAGTCTTTTAGTTCGTCCTTTTTCTTTCTTAACGTCGAACGATCTCGCCCGGCAGGATGAACGACGGCGAAGATGTCATCTCCAACTTTATGGCCATCACCGGCTCAACGGAGGACGACGCGGTGATGTACCTGTCCATGCACGACTTCGACTTGCAACAGGCCGTGGTGCAATACCAGCTCGATCACCCCAGCGCCGGCGACTCCGCCCCGTCGCACCAGGAGATGCCCTCCCCGATCGTGGACAGCGGATCCCCGGCGAGCCCTCACCCGCCCATGTCCTACCAGATGGAGGGCTTCGGGTCTCCGGCGGAGCCGCAGCGGCCGCCGACACCGCCGGAGGGCCGCATTTTGGCCTCCGGCAGCAACGAAAACCTGCAGCGGCTTTTTGCGCGTCCCGCGTACGTCGTGGGCAGCGACAGCGCATCGCTCGCGGTGGAGTGCACAAAAGCGGCCGACCGCAGCTGCTGGGTGGTGGTCGCCGTCGTGGACAACTCTTTTCCCTGTGAGTGCTTCACCCGCGATGTGTGGGCCAGCGACGCGATGCGCTCGTTGACCAGCGGCAGCATTTTTTGCTACGAGGTGAACGTCACCCACTCGCGCGGCATGACGATTGCGGAGAGGTACGGCGTTGACGTGAGCCACCTGCCTTGCATGTTCATCGTGGACCCCGTCACGAAGTTCAAGGTGGAGGAGTTGATGCTCGTCTCGACGGAGGCGTGGCGCTTCGACAGTGCGTTGGTGGTGGATGCGATCATGCTCTTCATCACGAGCCACGACCCCCCGCACGACCCCTTCGCAAACCCGACGGCATCGTCGGAAGGGCGGGAGGGGAGTGCGACGGGGCGGGCCGGCGGCCATGAAGGGGCTGTCGACAACCCGCTCGTGGTGGATGTGGACAGCGAGGAGGAGGAGGTGATGTCGCCGCCGACGGTGACACCCAGCGCGCGGGCGCAGTCCGGGCTGACCGAGGACAGCTTTGCCGTGGTGGCCCCCTCCCCCGTTACCCTAGACGAGTACCTTGTAGACGACGACGCCACCGACGCCTCCGCGGTGTTTAAGCTGCGCTGCCGTCTGCCGCACTCCTCGCCGACGCTGCAGCTGCGTCCTGACACGCCAGTGACAAAGCTGATAGACTATCTAGCCTATCTTCTCTACACAGAGGATAGAGAGAAGTACACGGTGCAGCCGCAAATTAGCATCTTTAGTGGGTTTCCCCCGCGGAACGTGACGTCGAACGATATGGAAGGCGTGTCGCTACGCACCTGGTCTGGCGTGCGCAGCGGTGACGTGGTGATGGTGCGCGTGAATGCGTAAAATGCGGAAGAGATGCACATGCGCACCTGTGGTGCAGTTTTGCGGATTTGCCAAAGAGAAAAAAAAGAGGGTTATGCCTGGAAGCCCACACACAGCTTTCTCTCTCGCAACGTACGCTTCGCCCTCACCTCGCTATGGTCGTTGGGTGTTGTCTTCGTCAACTTTTTTTTTCTGGTGTTTTTGTGTTTCTCACTTTCACGCTAACACTTCAGCGTTGAGGGTTCTGTGCGCGACGGGGGAGGGCGGGTGCACTGTCGCGGACTCCCTTCCCAACACCAAAGGGAACAGAGAAACGTGTGCGCACTTTTTCGTTGCTGTTTTTTTGTAAGTGACCTCGCTTCAGCTGCCAGCTGTAAATGGTTATTGAGACGAGGTGTAAAGGTAAAAAAGGAATAGGGTTGCAACTCCACACAGACACGTGACCATACAACGCTGATGCGGACGTCGATTGTTCTTAAACAACGTCGTTTCCACGAAGCGGCAGAAGAGATGTATCGCGCTTCGCAGGCTTCCATAGAGGTCAACAGGTTTCAATAGCAACTAACGGAAAACATGCCTCATGCGAGCCTTCAGCAATCCACGCCGTAACCGTTTTGTCTCGCTCTCTCTCTCTTCACCTTTAGGTTTGCCACGCCTCCCTGCACGCACCAACTTTCTACCCCTCCCGGCCAACTCAACACCTTGCACAACGAAGGGAGAATTCCACAGAAAAGGACAGCCCATCGAACGGCTTGCCCGAGAGTACAGTGTCTTTCTCTTGTATTTGTGTCTTCCCCCTTCCTCCCTCCACTGAGTCTCCAATGAGCACAACAGAGGGTGCCCCCGCCGCGGAGGGGCAGCGAAAGGAGTCGGCGCACACGAAGGCAAAGAAGGAAAAGTCTGAGCCTCATCGCTCACACGACCGCAAACATGGACACAGCAAAAAGTCAAAGCGAGGGGAGGCCAGCAGCGCAGCAACACCGTTGTCGTCCGCTACTGCTGCCGCCGCCGCTGCAGCTTCAAACGACGAGGAGGACTGGGACGAGAACCGTGCGGCGGTGGAGCGCCTGTGCGCGCAGTACCCCAACAACATCTGCTGCGACTGCGGCGAGAGCGGCACGCGGTGGGCCTCCGTCAACCACGGCGTGTTTGTGTGCATTCGCTGCTCCGGCGTTCACCGTTCGCTTGGTGCACACGTGTCGAAGGTGAAGTCGACCAACATGGACCGCTGGAGTTTAGCGGAGGTGCGGCTGATGGAGGCGATCGGCAACACCAAGGGCAAGACGCTTTACGAGGCTCGTTTACCCTCGGGCACCCGCCCCGCTTTAGGTGGCGGCAGCGTCGCGGACGATGCGTTGAAGTCCTTCATTCGCCGCAAGTACGTGGATCGCGAGTTTGCGATGCACAACGTAAAGGATGTGCTGCGCAGGCTCTACCGCGACACGGGTTATGGCCGCCCGCCGAAGAAGCCGTCAAAGATTGGCGAGGCGACCGCGTCGGCGTCTAGCGCGCGTGAAGCACCGCCGCTGGATCGCGCGGCCATCACCGGGAAGCGGGGGGACACGATGCGTGCTTTGTACGGTGAGGCGGCGGAGGAGATGCAGCGCCGCGCGTCGAAGCGCAAGAAGGGCGGCGCGGAGGGGAGTTCGCTGGATGCCGCTGCGCCACAGCCAACGTTTGGTGCCTTCGGCTTGGTGAACGTGCCGGCTGATGCGTACGACGAGCGGTGGAGGCGGACCTTGGAAGTGTTTAACCACGTTGAGGCGGTAGCTGTAGCGGAGGAGGCCGTGAGAGAAGAGGAGGAGCAGGAAGGGGGAGACAGTCCTGAAGAAAAATCTGACCCTTCGTCACCTCCGGCCGCGGCGACCGCAACGGCAGAAGACGGCGCCACGGAGGCGAGTAGTGGAGATGTGGTGGCCGCAGGGCTTTCCTAGTTGGTGCCCGCGGCGATGAAAGGGGAATGCGGGTGGCCTTCTCAGTTCCCACCCCCCCCCCCCCTCCCACCCCTGCCTGCTCAGTTGGACTTCAGCGGTCATTGCACACGCGATAACACGAGATTAGCAAAAAGCAAACCAACGATGCTGCGTTGGAAAGGAAACATCGAATAGCGAGTAAATTGCTTTTGCACGACCTTCTCGCAAAATGCGGTGCTTTTGGCAAAAAGAATGGCGTTTTATTCTTCGCATACGCTGAAGAATTGTTTTCCTGTTAACACACACACACACACACACTTGGATACCAGCACAAAACTCTATCGTGCTGTCGATTCGCGGCATCACTTCTCTGAGGATCTCTCATCTCCGGATCCCTCTGCCACTTTCTCATTTTCCTCTCTCCTTTTCCTGCTTTGACGTGCTCATCGGTGACGCTGCATCCCCGCAATGAAGAAGAAATCTCTCGCATTTCTCCGCGCTAACTATCGCTTCTTCGTTTCTTTAAAGTATACTTACTAGTTACCCTTTTTTCTTTCCTCCCACGCGCACGTTCGCATCGCTGCAGCCGTGTCTCTGCTGGCGAATCTTGCGGAGAAGACAGTCTCAAAGGCGTAGTGTACAGCTTGTGTGTTCTTTCCTCAGCCTCCTCAACAGCACCACCACCACCAACAAAAAACTGTATCACATCTTTCCATATTTTTTTTCTTTCAAAAGAATTCCCACGAAAGCACGATGTCGGCGTACAGCGAGGAAGATGTGGCGGCGCTAAACCGCGTGGTGGAGACGCTGGAGGCGCACCCGGAGGATATCCACAAGGTGGAGCTCGCGGAACTGAAGCGGTGGGCCACACAGGCAGGGGCCACCTTCGCCTCTCCCCCCACGCCGCAGGAGGCACCGTCACCCACAACTGCGCAGGCAGCGGCAGAGGAGGATGACGATGCCAGTGAGCCGGATGAGGAGCGGTGGACGCTGGACGACGGCGAGCCGACCGAGATCCCGGCGAAGGCGGGTGAGCCCTCCGATGCCGACGTGGAGGCTGCCATGACGGCGAAGGGGGAAGCGGCGGAGCTGTACGGCGAGGGCAAGCGGGAGGAGGCAATAGCGAAGATGAACGAGGCCCTCACGCACAACCCGAACAACGCCATGTACTGGGGCCTCCGCGCTCTCTACCACCTCGAAGGCAATAAGCCGTGCGCCGCGCTGCACGACGCCAACAAGGCCCTCGCCATCAACCCCCAAAACGTGCGTGCGCTGCGGGTGCGGGGCACCGTGCGCCGCCACCTCGGCGACTGGGCGGAGGCCGTGAAGGACCTCGGCGATGCGCAGAGCATCGACTACGATGACAAGACGAACGAGACGTTGAAGTACGTGCAGTCGCGTGCGACGCAGCGTCACAAGCGCGAGTTGGCCCAGCAGGAGGCGAAGAGGGAGGCGGCCCTCAAGCGGCAGGAGGAGTTACGCCGTCAGCGTCAGGCAGAGGCGGCGGCGGCGGCAGAAGAGGAAGAGGAGGCAAGCCGCGGGTACGGCGGCATGCCTGGAGGTATGCCAGGTGGTATGCCAGGGGGTATGCCCCCTGGCATGGATGCCATCTTCGAGGATCCGGAGATCATGGCGGCCATGCAGGATCCCGAGGTGGGTCCAAAGCTGTCGCAGATGATGCAAAACCCGATGGCGGCCATGGGCATGATGAACGACCCCAAGGTGGGCCCGATCATGCAAAAGATCATGTCCAAGATGATGGGCGGTGGCGGCATGCCGGGAGGGATGCCCGGTGGCTTCCCCAGAGGTGCCCCGCAAGGTGGTGCGGCTCCTGGCGGTGCGTCGGCCAAGAACGCCCGCTCAGCCGCGCAGGATGACCTTGACTGACACGACGGTACCTCAGGGTTAAACACACAAGAAGGGAAGGGAGGGACGGCATTCCTTATGCAGCTGAACGGATCACGTCCTTTTTTCTTTTGGAGGTGGCCGTGTTGAGCTACAGCGCGCAGGTGTCGTATTCTTTGCTCTTTTTCTTCTTCTCCCTTCGCGTTATGCGACGCCCACTGTGCTTATTTTCTCCTTTTTTTCTTGGTTTAAGTTATCGCTCTTTCGTCTTTGCATGCTGTATTTGCGTGGCGTGAGTTCACCTACACGGCTGCCTCTCCCTCTCGCGTGTATTCAGCCCGGTGTACGCAGGTGCGGGCGACAATGGGGAGGGCGGGGACGGAGAGAGCGACAGCGGCGACACGGGAGCGCCCGTTTCGCTCACAAGTGACAAACAACGCCTCGTCTTTTTAATCCTTAACGGAGGAGAACAAGAGAGTCACAAACAAACAAGAATATATCTGTTGTCTCCTTTTGGGTGTTCTTCGCACTGAGATGGAGGCGGCGGCGCGCCGCTGCTGTTCTGCGACGTTCATGGCCGTAAGAACAGAGAAGGACGAATTCTTATGTTCCGTGTTGTGGATACGTGCCAAGCCAGAGACGACAAGCTGACAGAAAGATACGAGGCTTTTCTTCCTGAGGCAGCATTCTACATGCAACTATGAAGTAGCAGCTCTTTCGATGGCGGCGCACCACTACTCCTTGAGTGCTCGGGATGATTTGTGTATTTCGTGTTTTTTTTTTTTTGCTGAAGGTGCTGCATCTTTATAGTTGTGAATGCTTCTACCCTTTCAAATCCTTCTTGGTCGTCCTTTCGTATTTCTGCTGCTGGGCGTGCTGTCCGGATTTCTTTGCATGTGCGTCGGCATGATTCTTTAGCTGTTCCTTGTCGGTAAACGCTGCCACTCAGACGTAAAAAAACATACCTACCAAACACACACACACACACACACAGAGTCCTCTCCCCTCTCCCCTCTGTTCTGCTTTATTATAAGCATCTATAACATCAGCAGCAGCATTCCCAATGCCGGCAAAGCGCAACGCATCCGCTTCTCGCAGCCGCAGCCGCGGTCGAAGGGCGCGCTCAGCGTCCACCTCGCGAACTCCCGCCCGGTCTCGTAGCCGCCGCTCCCCCGTCGCTGCCGCTGCCGCCGCCGTGGCTGCTCTGCCGGGGGCGGTGAAGTCCGTCTTCCAGAAGCCGAAGGCGACGCCGCCGACGTCGATGTGGGAGGCGGACGCAAAGTTGATGGACGCGATGAGCTCCGGCCGCTCGAACTCCCGCTCCACCGGTGTGCGTAAGCTATTCCGTGGCAAGAAGGGTCGTGTCTGGGGGTTCTGGGTGGCCATTATTATCTTCCAGGTCATTGCGATTGTGTGGGCAAAGTGGGCTATTGACATGTACAAGCAGTACCGCAACAAGGTGCACTGAGCTGATCTTTTGATAGATGTCAAAAAGAGGAAAGAACAAGAAAGAGGGTGAAAAGAGACGCCGAAGCGCTTTGCGTTTCTTTCCTCCCTCTCTCATCTCAGTAAATTCTGTATCTGTACCCCGTAGCTGTGCCATTATCTTTTTTCTTTTGCTGTTGAGCGTTGCTTACCGGTTGTGGTATCTATACACCTATTCTCACTCGCACGCGCCGTCGGAAAAGCTTTCCTTATCAATCCCCGTCACTTTCATGCTGGCTTTCTTGCCTCCCCCTTTTCAATACTGAGAGGCAAAAGGCCTCTGTTTTCGTCTCAACAAGACAAACACCTCGCATACGGTTTCACAGAGGAGGGTGACTGCTTACCAATGGATAGGAACGAGTATGCGTGTTGCGGAAGAACTTAGAGTCAGGGGACCCCATCTTCCATCTCTTACGGCTTTCAGTCAGTGACGACTTCCCCCAGTTTTTTGTTTTTAGAGTTGTTTAATGAAAGGGTTCAACAAGCTCTCGGCTTTTTAAATATATATTTATACGAGTTTTCTGCTGATTAAATGAGCAACATGTGGAGGTTGTGCGCGCTAGGTGGAGGAGGAAGCTAGAGAATTCACGTGAGACGCAGTGTTGTACTAATTAGGATATATTTTCCCTTTCACTGCCACTTTTTGTTTTGCTTCTTCCACACAAGTTTTTTTTTCCTTGTTGTTTCTTCTGTTCTTCTTCGGTGCTCGAACGCACGTGAGATTCGCAGCGTCGTCGAGTGCACAAGCCTGTAAGCCTTTTTCTTTCATTCGTATTCTTCGTTTCCCTCGTTAAATCCCACTTCTCACTGCGGCCTCTGTAGTATACAACAACACCAGCAGCAAAAACCAAGTGTGCGCACGTGTCCATCAGGAGAGGGATTTCTAATAGATCTTTCATTCGAGTTTTGTACTTTATCCGCTCAACGCTCGACTGTGGCAGAAAGGAAAACACTAGCGACAACGACGCTTCGAACAGGAGTGCCAAGGCGTGCTGCGTGTTCACGTGTGGAAACGCAAGACTCCATAAATGCCATGGAAAGAGGAAACATAGATATATATATGTGTATTCCATGTATCCGCGGTGTGGTCGGTGATTCTGCCCCAACGGGGAGCTAAAAGTCGACTGGCGTGTCTTCGTTTGATTCTTCTTTTAGAATGTTGCCGCGTCCTCTCGATGCCTCTGTTGGCTCCTCACACATTCAACTCCGCCTTTGCGGTGGCAGAGAGGCATATACCATTCGTTCTCCTCACCCCTCCCTTTCTGTTTCGTGTTTGGAAGATTCGCTTTTTCTTCTTCTACTCCAATCTGGAAAGACGCTTTGCAATTGAGGTGCGCATTTTGTCTTGCGGGTTTCTCTCGAATTCCCACGTTAGCTGACATGGAGCAGCCCCATTACGGCCGCACCGGACTGCTTGTGTCTCGTCTATCAGGCCTGCCCGTTACGCAGCCCCGCCTCATCACTTCAAGCGACGGTGCAACGTCCACATCGCGGACACTAAAATGGCGTCCGTCCTTGCTGACGATTCCCCAGCAGCTGCTCGATGCGCTGCGCCGCGAGGACGACGGTGCAGAGGATGGCTTCAACTCAACAGGGCACAGGTTTAACGACGACCCGACTCTTGTGACGTACTTGCGCGTGGCAACGATCGCGGAGTTTCTCGAGCGGCGGTGGCGTTACGGGGGATCTCCCCGACCCGCTGCTTCTCCCCCTCCCCCATCGAGCGCGTCACCCTCACGCGCGGAGACGTCCGGCTTGTACGCGAGCGTCTTAAAATGGAGCCGAGGGAAGGTGAACTCGACGAGAAACTCAACCTCGTCTTCAAATTCTAAAAGCAGCGCCTTCTTCGCGCCTGCGTACAAGCTGCTGGTCATGAAGGATGAAAAACGAGTTGTGGAGTACGCGAACATCACCTGGCGCTCTGTGTGGCTGCTAGGCAAGGAGCCGGTGGTGAACGATGTGCCGCTGGAGCACCCTTCCTGCTCGGGGCAACACGCGGCGTTGGAGATGCGCTTTGTGCTGGTAGATGAAGCACCGCTACATGAATGCGTAGAGGCACACACGCAGGGTTCATCCGCCCCTCACGCTGGACCGCCGCACTACGCTCACGACTCGGATACTTTGAAGGCGTTGTGCGAGGGAATGTGGGAGGTGCTGGCGAGTCAACAAGAGGCAGCAGGCGGGGATGCCTCAGGTGTGTGGACAATGGAATTGCAGCTGATCGACTTGGGCTCCACCAATCACACCAAGCTGAACGGTGCGGTGGTGCCGGCGATGGAGCCGACGACGGTGATTGAGTCTGACGTGTTCGAGTTTGGATATTCCACACGGAAGTATGTGGTGCTGCGCAACGCGTAGTCTTCGGCCGGTTTTACGCTTTGCGCCAAGGCAGACAGAGCAAGAAAAGAAAATAATTAGTTTCCACCACGAGGAGTCGTCAAGTCTGTTGTTTTTTCTTTGGGTTTGTGTCAGCTACGAAGCGCTCTGATCGTGAAGTAGCTATGCGCTGGCAAGTATGATCTCCGCGTAGCAAAAAGAACGAAAAAACTGAAAGCGTGTTGTCCCAACGCAGCCGATTCTGTCTTGTCTTTGCTTTCCCCTACCTCGACTCCTTTTTTTTTTTACATTGTCTGCTATGCATCTTTCCATCACCGTAGGTGTTGTGCAACACGTTAGCGACTTGCTTCGTTGTTGTTATTCGGTTTGTGTTTCTCGGTTGTACCGTCCTTTTCACCGTCAACGTATTCGGGCACCGATGATGCGCGATAGGCGTCACGTCTTGCCGGACGCAAACTTTGACGGTCCGGCGCTGCTCGATGAGCAGACGCAGATGCTATCCGACGCTCCCCCCGCCGACATTAACTCTTTGCTGTTTCTGAAGCTGCGTCTCAGCGCACAACAGCGTGCTACGGCGCAGCGCAACTACTGGCAGCGCGCACAGCCGGAGGGGGAGGGGATGCCCGGAGGGGCAACCCACGCTGTCGGTCGAAGCAACGCGGCATCGTCGAAGACGTCAAATGCAGCTCCTAATGGGGACACAGAGTCCTACCCCGCGGTTTCGAACTGGAATGTGCAGCCGACGCCGGTGCGGACATCGGTCGCGGCCTCTGCCGCCTGCCCAAACAGCGTTCCCCAAAGCAGCGTGAGAAACGAGAGCGTCTACGAGCACGTGCCGCTCACGCCCGGCGCACGCGCCTCGTTGGACGACACCTCGGCGGCACCGCGGCCGCAGCAATTACCTGTCGGGTCGCATCAAACACCGTTTGAGGACATGCCCGCCTCCGCGGCAAAGCGCGCCATGTCGAGTGCGCCGTCTGCGTCGGAGTCGTCGCTCCCCAGCCACTCGGAAATCCGCCCGGCTGCGGTGGACGAGAAGCCGGCGACGGCGAGCGGCACGCCGAAGTTGCCAGCCGGGGCGGACGACATGCGGGATGTGCCGTTGGTGCCGTGCCCCCACTGTGGCCGCACTTTCGCCCCCGATAGGCTGGAGCGGCACGCAATCACGTGCGAGCGGCAGCAGATCACACATCCTAAGCCAAAGACGGACGGCAAGGATCGGAAGGTGTCCATCAGCAGCGTAGGCAGCAGCGGGAAGCCCGAACGTGCTGCTGCTGCCACGGCGGCGGCGGCCTCTAGTGGCAGCGTCAAGACGGAGAAGTGGCGGCGGCAGAGTGCGCAGCTGCGGAGTGCCTTGGCGGGCACATCCGCCGTCGAGGACGACCGTGTGCAGTGCCCGCACTGTGGGCGCCGCTTTGCCAAGGACACTGCCGCTCGCCACATTCCGCTCTGCAACGCAAAGGAGGAGCGCCATCCCTGACAAGAAACAGGTTAGAGAGCATGAAAAATGAAGTACTGCCTTTCGATCGTGTTTTACTGTGGTGTGTGGCTCCGTTTGGGTGATCTTACACGGGTGTGTATGCGGCTCTTTATCCCTTTACTAATTAGACAAGCAAAACACCAGCCATAGCCTCAAGATTTCTCCTACTGCGATCAATTTAATTCGCCATAGACGGGTTCGTTGTTGACGGACTCTACGGAAAAACGGACTTTCTTCCTCTTTCTTGTCATATCATACATACTTTTCGTTCGTCTATTGTTCTGTATCTCTACGAATCGAGATGCCGAGTTAACGCATCTTTGCCTCCCAAAATACGATCTTTGCAGCCTCCTTCATTGTGCTCTTCGACGTCGCTGTGCCAGTTGGTTCGCTCTGAATGAAGAAGCATATGAGGAAAAGACCGTAATGCGCGCACATTTTCTCTTGCGATTCCCCTTATATATATATACATACATTTTATGTCGTGTTAACCGCCTTAGAAGTCAAAAATCGCTTCCATTATCGCTCTTTCTTCGAGAGAATGAGAGAGAGAGAGAAGGGGAGAAGGAGCTTTGCTTCCTATTCCTCTCGAGTTTCAGTCGTAATCACCATGGCTTTCTTCTTCTGGTTGCCCGGCAGCTTTGGAGTGCATTGAGTGAAGTTGTCACATTGGCCCGCGTTTTCTTTCCCTGAATGCTGTCGGCCACTTCCCCCTTCTTCGTCTGCCGCACCTCCCACATTTGTCGTCTTTCATTCTAATTGCACCGCTTTATTATTAATATTATTATTCAATTTTTAACGCTTTACTGAAAGCTCCTTTTCGCTTGGCTTTCTTCAAGTGCTCTTCTCTCTCTACTTACTATCGTTAATATTTATTTCGTTATCTCTTTATCTCTTTATCTCTTTGTTTAAATGCTTTTTTCTTTTTAACGCTGACGCAAGACGTAGCTACGGTATTTTTTCCCTTTCCGGCCCCTTCTATCGTAGGTTTCACCGCCCTTCCTCTTCCATCCTCTGCTGTGCAGCCCGTGCATCTTCGCGTTCGAGCTTCCGCCCTGCGCTTTTCTTTGGCCCAACAGCAACAGCAAAGAAACGAAAGAGATGGGCGATGTCAAGGAGTTTGAGGTGGAGCCGTTCGCGGCTCGCCAGGCCAGGTACAAAGCGGCGCTGACCGAAATCGCCGCCCTCAACCTCGGGCCCAAGAACTTCATCACCGACGCGGCAACACTACGCAAGTGGTACAGCCGCGACAAGTCGAGCCACGCCCGCGCCGTTCCGGTCGCTGCGGTGCGCCCCGACACGACGGAGAAGGTCGCCACGGTGGTGAAGATATGCGCGAAGCACAAGGTGCCCATGACTCCCCGCGGCGCCGGTACAGGTATCGAGGGCGGCTGCATCCCCTACGCGGGAGGCATCGTCATCGACACGGAGCTGCTGAAGCGTCTCGAGTTCGACCTCGAGAACGCCTGCGTGTGGGTCGGCGCGGGGGTGCGCAAGGCGGCGCTGAACAAGGCGGCGGCGAAGCACGGCTTTCTCTTCGGCCCCGACCCGTCCTCCGACCCCTTCGTCGGTGGAATGGTGGCCTGCTCCGGCAGCGGCATGTGCACGCTGCGCTACGGCACGACGCGTGAAAATGTGCTGTCGCTGCGCGTCGTGACGCCGGCGGGGGATGTGTTGCAGACACGGCAGGTGGTGCGCAAGTCCTCTGCCGGGCTGGAGCTGACGCAGCTGTACATTGGGTCGGAGGGCACGCTCGGCGTTGTGTGCGAGGTCTGCTTCCGCCTCTTCCCGATTCAGAAGTACAACGCAGGCGCCGTCTGCGTCTTCGACTCGACCACGTCGGCCGTGAAGGCGGTGGTGGCGATGAAGGAGGGCGACGTGCCGCACACACTACTGCGGTGCGAGATGATGAACAAGGAGGGCGTCACCGCCGCCAATTCTTTCAGCGGAACGCACCTGCCTGAGGCACCGATGGTGCTGCTCGAGTTTGTGTCCAACGACCGGCGCCGGAGGGACCTCTACAATGACTTTAAGAAGGTGTCGGCAGTCTTCAAGAAGCATGGGGCGCGGGAGTTGCGGTACCTGAAGGACGGCAAGGCCCTGGACAGCGCCTGGGAGTCGCGCCGCAACTGCCTCTTCTCTGCGATGCACTCCGACAAGGCAAAGGGCCTGCAGCACGTCATCACCACCGATGTCTGCGTCCCGATCAGCCGCCTCGCCGAGTGTGTGACGGCGACGGAAGAGGACTTCAAAAAGGAGAAGGTGCCGTGTCTCATCTGCGCGCACATCAGCGACGGCAACTTCCACGCGTTGATTCCGTACAAGAGCGCCGAGGACTTCAAGCGTGGTCGTGCGTTGGAGTCCCGCATTGTGACGCGCGCTGTGCAGATGGGTGGCACGGTTTCAGGCGAGCACGGCGTGGGTGTCGGCAAGGTACACCACCTCGTGCATGAGCACGGCAAGGCCCACATCGAGGTGCAGGAGCGCATCAAGAAGGCTCTCGACCCCGACAACATCATGAACCCCGGCTGCTTCTACCCAATTCAGCAGGTCCTCTTCCGCACGGCTCACCTGTAGTGTGTGCACGTAGTGAGGGCGGTGATGGACTCAGCGTTGCGCTGCTTCCTTTGTGTGCTTTGTTTTTTCTTTTTGCAGGCCAGCAGGAAGAGGTGGCGCACGACGGCGTCGCTGTTAAGCGGAGAGTTGGTTTGCTGGTTGCGGTGGAAAAAAGGGGCATGGTGGTTCGCCTTCGTGGCGTGTGTCGGCTGCACACGCGGTCGTCGTGGATATGATGCTTGAGGGCCGTTGGCCGCTTAGCACAGTGGCAGTGCACCACTCTCGTAAAGTGGGGGTCGCGAGTTCGATTCTCGCAGTGGCCTACCTTTTTTATAAGATTATTTATTATCACTGTATATATGTATATGGGACGATCTGGAAATCAACTGGTTCGCACACCACGGCACACCCTCTCGCAAAAGGGAAAACGTAGAAACGAACACTTGCGGTGTGACTCGGCCCAGTGCTTCTTCTTCAGCGCTCATCTCCATGGCACACATTTCTATCGCCGAAAAGAAAAACACGAGTATTGACGACTCATTACTATCTTCTTCTTTCGTTAATTAAAGTGTTCTCAATGTCGTATTCCTGTGTTCCTCTTTTTTTTTGTAAATTTCAGCTCACTGCAATGATGAAAACTAAAACGGTTGTTAATACGCACATGTTTTACAGGTATCATTTCATGTATGCGCCGACTTACGCTTCATTGTTTTCATTCTCACAGTTTTTTTTTTGTCGTTGTTGACGATCTCCAATCAGTGTTAAAGGTAAAGGTGAGTAAGGCCGTAATCATCACCGTTCCGATCATTCCAAGTCGATTCCATTCACCTCCTCCCTTTCCCTCATAATTTCTTCTTTTTACAATCAAAAGAAAACAGAAAAGGAAAAAGAAGGCGCTGCAACGCCCTTTGTTTGTTTCTCCTTTTTCATGGTGAATGCCGGTTGCCGGAGACGTGTTCTTTTCAAAAGCCTGCGTTGCGGATCCCAACTCCACCGGAATCCGGTTCAAAAAGAAAAACACGTCTGCATGGATGATAAAAAGGCGCTGAAGGAAAAAATTCAACGCATCGCAGAGAACAGAGTACTTGCATAGACGGAAATGTTGATGCATTGTGTTTGGGCGGTGTCTTAGCGAAAACCATCGACGGCACTGCAGCGAGTATTGCCGCAGTTGCGGTGGCAGAGTGGCGACATACAAGACGAGCTGCGATCACCGTCCGATTCGAATTGAGATGTAAAAGCGTTAAGAAAGAAATACCTCCAGAGGGGAACAATGCCGACTCCACTCTACCTACTGTTCTCCCCTTCCTTTGCATTAAACATCCCAAGTTCTTCGATCGGCTTCTCGGTTGCACCCTGAAGGAGTTTGTGTTATTCGCGGCTGTTCGCATGTATTCTCTCATTTAACGTTTTCATCAATACACCGAGTAACCATTACACCATCATGCCGTTCTGGAAGGATTACATCTACGCGAAGCCGGAGGTGGACGACGACGACCTCCCGCTGCCCGAGCACCGCATCTTCGACGACGACGGCTACATCAAAGACAAGGTGGAGCGGGCGGTGGCGGCAGCCTGGCGCACATCTCCCAGCCGTGCCGCCAACGCCAAGAAGTCGTCGCCGCTCTCGCCGAAGCGACGCGCGGAGTTGCTCAAGTCGGTAGGAGCGAAGCCCACAACACCAGTGAAAGTGGTGGAGGTAAAGGCACAGACTCCTGCCGCCGCAGCCGCCGCTGCTGCTCCTGCTGCACCACTCTCCAGGGCGTCCTCCCGCTCCCGCTCCTCGACGACGCGCAAGTCCGCTGCTCGCTCGCCCGTCAGGTCGCCGAAGGCCGCCAGCACCCCCCGCAGCGCCTCCTCCGGGCACAAGCCGTCGCCCAAGAAGGCGAGCCCGAACAAGGCAGCGGCGAAGCGCACGTCCGCCAAGCAGTCGACCCCATCCCGCTCCCCGGCCCGCGCACGCGCCCGTTCGCCGTCGCCGACGAAGCCAAAGGCCTCGCCCAGGGCGGCCACCCGCGCCAAGCGCTCCCGCTCCCGGTCTGGCTCGCGCAAGGCTGCCCGCGCCTCCCGCCCCAAGACGCCGAGCCCGAAGTGGACCGTGGCCGCGCTGAGGGAGTTTGCGAAGGACAAATCTATTCCTCTCGCAGGGGCAACGAAGAAGGCGGACATCCTGCACGCCCTCAAGCGCTCGTCGTAGGAGAGTTAGCGTCGGCGGTGGAACGCGGTTCGCTGAGGCGCTTATTTGCGCGTGCTTCACTGTGATGAGCGGCTTTGGCTTCTCTAGAGCAGCCCAAAGATTATATATGCATGCCGCCTCAGCGCTGCACCT